CCAAAAAAAAAAAAAAAAAACAAAAACAAAAAGCAAATCATGATGAAGAATTGAGAAACAGAGAGGGAAATTACCTCTCCCGATCTAAGGGAATGGAAGGAGTCCTGTGAGGGGATGCATGGGCAGAAGGGGGAGGGTAATGGAAGTAACTCCCAGGTGGGGTTCTCTCCCCCATAACGCATAAACTAAAGAACACAACAAAATAGAAGAAACCCAGAAGTGGAATTGGGTTAATAAGTGGAGAAGAAGAGTGAAATTAACATATCCAACGAAGAACAGGGCGACCCAGATAGAGAAAGAAGCGTACCTTTGCAGAAAGAAAGGGGGCGAAGAAGGAGATGAATCTGAGGCAGAGAGGTAAAGGGAAGTCCGATGAAGAGAGGCGGTGGCGGAAAAAGGAAAGCCCTATGGGGAAGGAGAAGAACGGGAAGATCGTGGCGTTGTGTGAGTGCTTTTTGCTGTTCTTTGAATTTTACTGTATTGTTCTTCGCACAATCAATGAGTCAGTGGCAATGGAGAACGAGATGAGGAATGGGAAATTGGCAATCTTCTGGTGGATGCGTCTTTTTCTACCCGAAGTAAAAACCTTTATTTATTTATTTTTTTTTCTATCACTGTATTTATGATTTTACCATTTTACCCCCTCAACTCACGTGGGAGTGGAGCCTACTGCCTGATTCAATCTGACAATACCCTTTTATATATTTATTTTTTAAATATTAATATTATTATTAATGTTTAATAGGCTATTTTATTTGATTTTTATAATTTTAGACGAGTTTTTAAAGGTGTGACTTTAAATGCTATTTAAATTTATTGACCCAAAAAATTCATTTTACCCGACTTATAGGAATATGGGTGATTAATCGTCATTTATTCGTATTCAATTTAGTAAGACACATTTGATTTGGAGCCCGATACTAAAATGAGAAGAGCGGTCAGCAACAAGTTGATTCAACGTTAATTTTTAAATATCAAACTTAAAATTTTAAGTAATACATCAATAATTAATGCACAATTTTATTATTTATTTATTTATTTATTAATATTTTAATTAATTTATACTTAATTATTTTTAGTCATTAAATTTAATTATTTAATAATCAATATTACTTATAATTAATGTTTAATGTAAAAACCTTTTATTTATTCATTGCAAATAATTAATTTAATTAACTAATATAACAATATATTGAATAATATTAAATTTAACTTATGATTACATCAATTTGTTCTCTTATAATTAATTATTTAACTATAATTTTGATCAACAAAAATGGGCAAACATACACATTATATTCAAAATATAACTTCAAATAAATCAAGTAGTGATACTATTTAATATTTTATATATAAATATTTAATTTTAATTTATATATACAAATTTCTAAAATAAACAAATACAAACATTAATCATCCGCCACATTTAAATCTTAAGTATTTAAAAGTCGTTAATGGCTTCTAATAATAGCGGCTATTTAATAAAATTTTATCAATAATAAAGATGAAAATCCTATTTTTGAGACCATATGATAAATTATAATTTTTTCTAAACTATAAAAACCAAAATTTTTATTTAACAATCTTTTCACTTAAATATCCATTCCCACATATATAACAAAATGATATTTTCAGCAAGATTCACGCATCCAATTGTCCAGTCAGTCAAAAAGAAGAAAGGTCGTACCCAATCTAGGAATCAGATGATGAGAGGAACAAGGCTAGGTGTCATTCTCTATACACCTGAAAAACCGTTCGAGATCTTTCTTTTTGCCTTCATCAAGTGGAAAGTGGAATGGGAATGAATGCAGAATGAACCCGGTTTGAAAAATTGAGGTTGCAGGTGAGTCACCACTTCAACAGAAGATAGCACAAGGCTGATCTCGGCAACTTGTGAGTCACCACTTCTACAGAAGATAGCACAAGGCTGATCTCGGCAACTTGTGAGTCACCACTTCAACAGAAGATAGCACACCACTTCAACAGAAGATAACACAAGGCTGATCTCGACAACTTGTGAGTCACCACTTCAACAGAAGATAGCACAAGGCTAATCTCGGCAACTCGTGAGTCACCACTTCAACAGAAGATAACACAAGGCTGATCTCGACAACTTGTGAGTCACCACTTCAACAGAAGATAGCACAAGGCCGATCTCTGCAACTAAAGATCGCGCTTTGTGTCTGACTCCACTCACTACCTTTTAGTGTGAATGGATAAAGAAGGGCCCTCAAAGAGCTCGGTACCAAACAGGCACAGCTAAGAAATAATATGTTTGATCAAATGGTTCAAACTACGAGGTCACCTCAAAATTATACCTAAGTTAAATTTAAAATAAAAAACAAAAAAAAATTCTAAAGTAAAATATGAATTATATGTAAATTATATATCAATGTAAATCCAAGCAAACAAAAAACAGAATAGAGTTGGTAACTAGAAAGTAATCAACGAGCAGATGAACAAAGAAGAGATAGAGAGAGATCCAAAAATTGAGGAAATATTTTGTGAACTTAAGAAGAGGAGCAACAAGGCTTCTTTGAATTGGCCTCAGATTCACCAACCACAATGGCTTTACCTTCTTTGATGTTAGCAGCAGCAGCAGCAGGCTCCTCTGAATTGAGGGACTTCTTGCTGATTATCCGATATATCTCTGAGAGAATTGTTTGGAAAGCCTTCTCCACATTTGTTGCTTCAAGAGCAGAAGTCTCGATGAATGATAGCCCTTCTTTCTCGGCATAGCTTTGAGCATCCTCCGTTGCCACCGCTCGGAGGTGTTTCAGATCAGTCTTGTTCCCAATTAACATGATGACTATGTTGGAATCTGCATGGTCTCTGAGTTCCTTCAACCAACGACTTACGTTATCGAATGTCATCGGTTTCGTTACGTCGTACACGAGAAGAGCTCCAAGGGCACCCCTATAGTAAGCACTGGTTATCGCTCTGTATCGCTCTTGACCGGCTGTGTCCCATATCTGGGCTTTCACAGTTCTTCCCTCAACCTGATAAATAAGCAGAACAGTTCTTTTCTTGATAACTTTCATAATCAGAGCACAATCGATATCATGGATCCTTTAAACCCACCTTAAGGCTAAAATGTCATATAAAACAAATGATCAAAGCTGTTCTGTTTGTATATCCAAAACGTTTTGTTGATTTTATAAAGTAACTTCATATGCAAGAATCAGAAAATAAAATTGGAAACCATGCGCCTGTAATTTTAGTCTGAGAGGGTAAAAAGGAAAGGGCTCCGAAAAACCGAACAGTTTCAGTCATCTAGCAAGGGGTCACCACCGCATTCGACATTAACTCGGCTTACAAGACAAACAAAATGAATTCGAAATCTTTAGCAGGACAAGAACTACAGATATCACAAAAGTTCCATCATTCTGCAGAGATCCAGATTATGGCAACGATTAGTTCAACAAATGTGCCACTAATATCACATAGACAACTCAAGAAGCTCCAAAATCTATCATCAAAACGTGTGTTTATGTGCGTGACAAGATCACTAACTAAAGAACATTTTCCAGGTATCAACTATAGTCCAAGAAACTGAGATTTAAACGACCACATAATGCAGTGTAAATCAAAAGCTGCAGCGAGCGGCTAGAATTGTAAATGTTTCTCCACTTTGTTAAGTACTTGATGAAATGCATTTCCTCTTTAGAATTGCTATCAAATTGTTTTAAGGTGTCAAATTTGCGTAATAAAAAAGGAAAGGAAGGAATGGAAGAAGGGTGGAATGCATAAACAAAATCTGAATAATAATTGCATTTTCCAGATTCTTATTTTTAAGAATGGCATTAAGGTTCTATGGACTGAATTAAATGGCATCAAAACAATCAATTATGATATTCAGATATATCTCCGTTAACAGTTAGGACGGAATCTCTTACCGATCCACAGATCAGAATTTGAATAATTTCCATCAAACGTTATACCTAATCAGACATTTTTCTCAATTCATCATCGAAATCCATATCAGTAAAGAGACTAATAACTTCCCGCATTCATCTAAGTTAAAATGAAAATACAACAAGAACAACCAATCAAGAACACAGATCCGCAAGAGAAGATGCACAAACTCAATTCAGATTTAAAAACGACTGTTTCAAGCGAGAAAGAAATCAGATCATTCCCTGAATAACAACTTTCAAGAAAGTTCGAGTTCCAGGATAAATCCAAATGCAGATTTACAAACAGATCGAGAAAGCAAAGCATGCGAACACACAGCGGAGGCAGATATAAATATCCAATGAGAGAGAAATTAAGAGTGAGAGATACCTGAAGAGTACGAGTGGCGAATTCGACGCCAATGGTGGACTTGGACTCCAAGCAAAACTCATTCCGAGTGAATCGGGAAAGGAGGTTGGATTTTCCAACGCCAGAATCGCCGATTAGCACAACTTTGAAGAGGTAATCATAGTCGTCGTCGGGTCTCCTGGCCATATCTCGCCGGTATTTCCTCTCTCTCTCTCTCTCTCTCTCTCTCGCTCCTCGATCTTTGGCTCACAGATTTAGCTTCCCCAAATCTGGAAAGCAAAATTGAAGAATCTGTTCCTCACGAATCGGCTGCTCCACTTTGAATATGAAGACGAAATGGAGACTGCGGACTTCAAATCCTGGGATTGACAGAGCAATTCTGTGCCCAAAACTGCCCTTCAAGGTAGGGGCATTTTCGACCAACCGCCCCATCACGACTTAATTACCGAAACATCCCTTAATTTACTCTTTTAAACTTTTTAATTTTTTTTAAATATATCTTATTTAGTCATTAAATTTTTTATTTATATTTTTTTTATTCAATTGAATAATAAACTCAATCCAACCATGAAGAAGTAAATAGTAAAGGGTCCTCCGCACGCTTAAGAGAAAGAGTAGTTCCATCAGTAAAAGGCTTAGATAATAAGTAGAAAGAAAAGATAAGAGCTCAGATTCTTTCACTCTTGAACGAGGTAAAGCTAAATGAATGAAAGATGTAGAGGGGCAGGGTCGAAGACATGAAACTGAGTTGTAGAGGGGCAGGAAGGAATTGACTGAAGATATGACTTATAGGTCGACTTTAGATCACGGAGGAGAAAATTCTATAGTCTCCCAGGCAGAAGAAGAGATTAGGAGGCTGGGAAAGGCTCGGGATTGAGTATGAATTTCCTCTCATGTTTTTGTTTAGGTTTACGGTTCAAGAATCAATAGGGAAAGGAGAAGAGAAAGAGGGTTCCGGTTCCGGTTCAGGAGTGAGAAAGCAAGCAGCCAAGACAGTTAGTTAGTTAGGCCAGCAAGCAAGCCGGGAAAGAGATAAAGAAATAGTTAGGAACAAAAGAGTTCCATTGAGACCTCCTCCTCTAGCACTCTCGAACAAAGTACACCCTTTATTACTTTTGATTTTCTCAAAATGCCTCATACCAACGGAAACCGTGTTTTTTACTTATAAACTCATGATTTTTTTTCTTAATCAGCCAATGTGAAACTACTCTCAACAATCCTATTGTTCAAGGAGGTTCCATAGAATCAAAGAGTTGATCTCAACCCATAAACGATATA